GCCGGATATAGAAGGCACCCCCCCCTAAGGGAGGCAGGAACGCCTGCCTCGCCTTTTTCTTTATTAATTAAATAGGAGGAATAATAGGCGCGGCCCCGGGGACGTAGGGAGGCCGATATTAGTATACCGCGGCCGCTATACGGCGGAGACCCCGCGGCACCCTTTCGGCCCTCGCCCTATCACTAATAACCGGCCTAGGCTAACCCGAACTATAGCCTACTACCCTTCCCGTCAGCCACTAGCCTAGAGGTATAATCTAGATACGCAGACGGGGTAAACCGGGGCCACGTCGGCCCCGCTAAGGCACAACTCTAACTAAGGATAAGTATAGAGGTTTTTCCCCCGGGGCCCCGGGTTTTTCCCCTCTATAGCCACCCGAGAAGGACCGTATAGTCTAAATAGGCTTCTATAGATTAGATAGGATGGCGGAGTAAGAATAATAATAATAATAATAATAATAATAATAATAATACTAATAAGGTTTTCGAGTAGCTTAATCTGCCTATGGATTATTAACTCCAGGATCCTCTGGGTATTACTACTATCGTGGTTAATTTTCACCCTTAAACGCTACTAGAGCAGAATACTATAAGGGAGGCAATAGCGGAGGCGGCCACTGCTACGGCCACTACGGCTATCGCCGCTATTACTGCCGTTACTTCTAGGGGGGTGGATAAAGGTACAGGTTCAATAACCACTGCAGAATCTGCAGAAGAATAATAATAGCAGGAAGATTAACCTAATCAGGAGGCATAGGAGGCATGTGGAATAGAGTAAATAAGCCCTATAACGTCTTCCACGCCATTGGCAGTACCTGCTTTAATAATAACAACGCCGCCTTCCATAATTACACTTATAATTATGCCTCTAACGGCACCTGTTTTCCCTCCTTCAATAACCATAAACGGCCCTCCTACACCACTAACTAGAACTACGGATCTACCGCCTGTTTTTAAATAATCTAACGAAGATTAATCTGACGATACGGCCGTAACCGGCGATACCGTCGAAATAGGATTATTATCCCCTGACTAATCGGTTCTTAAAGAGGAATTAACCACTGCTGCCACCTCTGTTAATCCGGTATCCACGGCTCCTACTAAGTCTTTATAATCCTCTTCTTCCACTACCACTACTAACTACCTTTCCTCTTCTACTAGTAGAAGAAGCCGTCCTCCTATTATTCCGACGGCCGCTACCGACTAGCCTGCCCGTAGTAGGCGTCTAACCGACCGTTATACCCCTCCTTGCTTTTATACCTTCTATAATGAGATTAAGATGCCGAAGAAGCCGCTACTACGCCGCGATAAACCTAAGGAACCTCTGAACTGGTCTTAAAGGCTGAAGAGTCCCTATAAATTAGAATAGATTAAGGCCGCCTTATAGGAAGTCGGCACGCTTAGGTTAATAGGCACCTTTGAATAGTGGGAATAGTCCTATTAGTAACAGCACGACTCGGGACTATCTAAATTAGTTCTAAGGCCACTAGATCTTAAATGGGTTTTTAAGTATAAGGTCGATCCTACAAGCTACGTTAATAAGTTTAAGGCACGTCTTTACGTTTAAGGGGATTAATAACTAAATAACCACCTTAACGCCTACGCCTCTACCCTCGCTAGAAGGACCTTTAGGTCGCTAATATGTATTATAGCCCACTTCGATCTTAAGACTCGGTAACTTAACGCCGTTAACGTATTTATTAATGCCCTGCTTAACGAAGAGATTTATATTAAGGACCCTCCTGGTTAGTAGTTACTCTAGTTAGCTACGGGCCTTAAAGCCGATAATTAACTCGAGGACCTTCTAAAGTAAAATACCCTCCTATATAACGTAGAGGGATTTAAAGGTTACGCCGCGCGTTATATAGCCTCCGCCGTTCCCTAAAGCCATAGTATTAATAGCTCTCTTCCGTACTAGGTAAGTGCGGTTTAAAGTAATTAACCGAAGGCGATTACGTCTTTAAGAACGAGGATCTGATTACTTTCTTTTACGTTAACGATATTATCCTGATCTACCGTAAGGAATATTAATCTACTACTAATAATCTAGTATAGCAGATATAGAAGAGCTTCTAAATCAGGGATCTAAGACTACTTAAGTGGTTCCTTAGAATCCGCGTAGGGCGCGATCGTTAATAACGTAAGCTATAGTTATCGCTTAATAACTATATTACCAATAAGATAAAAGCGTTATAGATGGATTATAGAGGTCGTAGGGTTAAAAGCCCTCTTCCTTATCCTGACGTTCTATAGCCTGCCGACTAATAAGCCTCCGAAGAATTAATCTATCTATATCTTCGGAAGGTCGGTTCTATTAACTACGCCGCCTACTAGACCCAGCCTAATATCTCTAAAGCTACTTTAAGGCTTACCGAATTCAGCACTAACCCTTTAAAATAGTATCACGAAGCTGCCGATAGGTGCCTAAAGTATCTCGGCTCGATAAAGACGCTATCCCTTTATTTCGGACCACGTAAAAACGACTAAAAGCCTGCACTCTTCTATACCTCCGACGCCGCCTTCACGGACGATCGTGAGACTAAGTATAGCTTATAAGGTTACACGACCCTCCTCTTCGGGGGTCCTATAGACTAAAAGGCAAATAAGCAAATAAGCGTTATAACCTCTAGTACTAAAGCCGAGCTTATAGCGCTTTCTGCTACTATTAGGCAGTATATCGCGATAAGGCGTTTAATAAAGGACCTTACCCTTACCTTTAAGGAGGAACTACTAACTATATACTATGATAATTAATAAACTAAGTAACTATTAGAGTCGCCGCGGCCTTAGGTTATCTTAAAATTAAAGTATCTTGATATCCACGCCCTTTAGATCCGATAAACCGTTTAAAAGGGGACCGTCGCGATTAATTAGATCGCCACTAACGATATAGTTAGCGATAGCCTTATAAAGGTACTTCCCCCGTAGAAACACAGGGCGTTTATATATCTACTTAGTATAGAGGTCTAGCCGAAATAGGATTAAAGTAATTAATAGAGACGACGATCTTCTATTAGTTTTTAATTAAAGGAAATCGGTTAATTAGACCGTTATTTTTAGTGTTTTTATGCCCCTACAGACTTATTTAGGTACTGTTTTTAACACTTTTTAACTGCTTTTTGACTTTAACGCCTATAGCGCCGTTAATTAAAATCTAGGCCCGAGTTACCCTGGATTTTGGTATTAATTCAACGAGCAGAACAGTTAGGGTTAATCCTACTATTCTGGGGGGGGGGTGTGTCAGATGGCATAGCCACGTTATCGGGGTGTGATAAAGTATATTATGTTAGACGTGTGGAGTACTTCGCTCATATATATCCACCCTTATTTCCCCTGCTTTTTCCGTATAGTTAGACATCCCTATAAAGTATCACAAACTTCACTCAGATAAATACAAACATAATTCCGCGTACCTTATTTGTGTTCTGACAGGTATTGTAGATTTTAATAACACCGCTTATAATAATAAGATTAGTTTTATTTAGTAGATCAATAGAGAACTAGTCCTTATTATTAAGGATAAGGAGGGGATACTAGTTATAGACGTTATGGCTTTTTGTATAACCCCCGGTATTAAGTAAGCCTTAAAATAGGGCAAAATACTACCTCCTATAATACTTATAGATTATACTTCTTATTTTTAACTATTAGATACGTATATTAACGGTCCGCTAAAAAAGCCTTTTCGGGATATTATAGACTCTTATTTAGATTAATAAGATTCATAGGGTGATAGAGTTTAGACCCTATCTAAACACAGGGTATTTACTATATATATAGTAGGCTAGGCGGTGGATATTCTTTATAATGAAGAGAAGGATATAATTAAGTAGTCGTTTACTAAGTATAGTATATCTATTAATCCTAATAGTAGCGAAGATTATAGTATTAAAATTAAGGAGATATCCCTCTCTAATACCGATCTAGATAGGGTTAAACTGAATCTAATTAAGCAGGAAGATATATTTAAGATACCTTAATACATTAATAATCTTACTAATAAGTTTATCATATCTATAAAAGTATTAGGACTACCTTAAAGCACCTATAGATATATAAGCGTTAAGATACTATAAGGTCTTTTAAGGGTAAGGCATATTAAGATCTTAGGAAAAAAGGTAGATCTAGTAGTATATTTAGAGATATAGAATAAAGAGTACTATCGGGTATTAGAAATAGCTCTTTTAGTCTAGGGGTAGACTAAAGATAATAATAATAAGTGTATAGGCGAGTCTTAGGATATAGATTTAATAGCTTAAAACCTCCTCTTTTACCAAGAAGAATATATATCCCTATCGCTATTATTAGTGGATTTTTAAACGGTTATTAAATTTAACCTAGCGTTTCCTATATATCTATAGACGGTAAAAACCTTTTTTCCCCTCTATTAGGAAGCCCTTAATTAAATACCTACTACGCTCTTTAACTTAGTTATAGTATATATCGTTATTATTTATTAACAAGATACTAATATTAACGCTTAGTATAGAGGACTTACGATATCGTAGCTTATATTCGGTATTAAGGTCGAAAAGATAACTATTAATAAAATTATCGGTTACGTCTAGTAGTAGAATCTTAGTCGCATATTAAGCTGGGTATTTCCAGGGACGTAAAAAGGGATATATATATACAGATAATATTAAGGAACCCGTTAGTATCTAATTAAGATATTTTTAAGGTTATGGTGGTATCGTAATTAAGGCTATGGAAGATAGAGAGTGGTCGGGAGAGATAATTTAAGATCGATTTAGCCTATATAGGAAGTGGGTATTTTTAACGTAAGCAGAAAAGAGCCTTAGACGAATTTGTTAAAATAATACGGTAGGGCCGAAGGCCCGCTACCCCATATATACCTGAAGATAAGACGTCTGAGCCTACTAAGATAAGGTTCTCCGTGTTTTTTATAACAGACGTGTCTGGTGGTTCTTTTAACAGCACCTGGTATTTAGCTGTGGGCTGTGGTCGCGGGCAACCCATGCGTCAATTGATCAACTCACACTTGGCCGTCCGTCTTCTACTATGGCTCTCCTCTCGCGATATGGCTTTCTAGCCATTGCTGTAGTCTTTCACGTCGTGTACTTCCTCTCTATTTTCGACATCTACTTTGTCAGTCCCATCGTTGGTGGCATGCGTCTCTTTCCACCAAAGGGCTCTGCTCATGCCGAAGCACCAGCGGACCGTCTTGTCCTCTTTGTTGGTATGATATTCCCCTATCCTATGCTATACGCGTCTAACACGTTGGAGGTGACGGACTCCGCGCGGATAAGGCGTTCCAGTGGTTCCCGGAACCGTACCCACAGAATGCAGACGACCTCGACCCTCGGCCTCTCGCCCCTTTTCTCCGATCTCGAGTATTACATCATGGAACCTTTGGAGTGTCTCATACCAGGGTGCCGACAGAGTCTCGTCCAGGACATGTCGCGCTTATTGCGGGCCTATATGAAGATGTTTCGGCGGTAGCTACAGGATGGAAGCTCAACCCTGTCAACTTTGACAGCGTCTTCAATCGTAGTCGGCATACATGGAGCTGGGGTAGCCCGGATATTCTGCCAATGTTCCAACAGGGAGCTGTTCCTGGGCGTGTCGATGCCTTTACATACGGGCACGAATTTGAGGACTTTTCCCAGGACCCTCTAGAGCTGGACTATTGGGTCTTTAATAATATCAAAGACTTCTTTGCCGAGGCAACAAGAAATGAAACCCTCAATGCAGCTTTGCGACAGGATAAGTTGGTCTTCTTTCTTCACTTGCTGGGAATTGACACTTCCGGCCACGCCTACCGGCCATACTCGAAGGAGTATCTCAATAACATCAAGGTTGTGGACAAAGGGATACAAGAGATCACCAAACTGATGGAAGATTTCTACGGGGATGGTCGAACGGCATTCGTCTTCACAGCCGACCACGGGATGAGCGACTGGGGTAGCCACGGCGATGGCCATCCCGATAACACCCGCACACCGTTGGTTGCTTGGGGCTCAGGGGTTGCCGCGCCCGTCCTTCAACGTGGCTCAGTTGCAGCTGGCCACGATGAGTATTCTCTGGAGTGGAAGATGGATGAGGTCCAGCGCCATGATGTTGCACAGGCTGACATCGCAGCACTGATGGCCTACCTAATAGGCACAGAATTTCCTGCCAACTCAGTTGGAGAACTTCCCCTCGCATATGTCTCCTCCGATCTCAGGGATAAGGCAGAGGCGTCCCTTGTTAATGCACGCCAAATTCTCGAGATGTACTGTGTGAAAGAAGAACTAAAGAAAAGCAAGGAGATCCGTTTCAGACCATATGGACCACTAAGTGGCGAAAATAACACTGCGGAGCGCAGACTCTCTGACATACGAACCTTGATCGACACAGCCTCCTTCGAGGAAGCCATCGAGGAATCAGCAGCTCTCGTGAAAACAGCACTCGAAGGTATGAGATACTTTCAAACATACGATTGGCTTTTCCTCCGAACTCTCATCACCGTTGGGTATCTGGGGTGGATGGCCTATGCCCTTACCGGTATTATCAACATTTATGTCCTTGGTGGCGAGGAAAGGCCTTCCAGGACTCTATCGGGGGTGACCTTCTTCTCTGCCATGCTGGCCATGCTTTATGCGTCATTCATTATTTCCAAGGCTCCTCTCACCTATTATGCTTATGCATTCTTCCCGGTTATCTTCTGGGAGGAGGTCTATGCGCGACGGCACAGTATTGCCATTGGTCGTCGAATCCTTTTTGGCCATGTCACGTCGGGATCTAGCATCGCGTCTATTCTGGTTAGCACCACTGCTTACCTCGGAATCGTCTTTTCTTTGGTGAGTGAGCATGCCATTGTGCTTGTGCATGCCGAGGCAAAATTTGTTAATGCGAAACAATATGAAAGGCTGCAGGATACGTTCATCGTGAACTTCTCACCCTTCTTTACCTTCTGGCTATTTTCTGGCCTCTATCGTACGGGACCAGTTTCATTAAGAAAAACATCCTCGTTGCCACCATATGGGCATTGTCGTGCCTCTCAATGAGCATCTTCACACTGTTACCGGCCAACAAAGTTGAAAACATCGATCTAATGCAAGTATTCTGGACGGGCACATGATGCCACCGCGCAGCGGTATGCTAACAGGTTCGTAGCATGGCTGGTGGGGTCTTGATGCTCGTTATAGGTGTAGCATACCTCGCCCTAGAAGACCGCATATTGACTTCTTGGTCGGGAGAATGTCACGGCGCAATTAAACCTGTCGGATTACCGATGTCAAGAGCATTGACTGGTGCTCAGGTAAGTCACGACAATCCCATCGGACGACACGTTGCTAAAACACATTCAAGGTGGGCCTCGTACTATTGTCTGTGGTAGTCACTCGCTCCAGTTCCCTATCTCTGCAGGCGAAGCAGGGTGTTCCACGGGGAAATCTGGTCGTCGGTTGGGCGGTGCTCGGTATGCCATCCTATCACTTGATTGATCTTTGCATCCGACAATCTACTGACCGGATATCGCAGTCATCTCTCTTCTCATGCCTCTAGCACACAGACTACAGCCAAACAACCACTACATGCATCGATTGATGGTGATGTTTCTAACCTGCGCCCCGACCTTCGTCATCCTGACGATTTCGTATGAGGGGCTGTTCTACGTGGCGTTCAGCATGCTCCTGGTTGTTTGGGTCAACCTCGAGCACAAAATATACATCTTCGGGAGATCCAAGGGAGATCAAGTCAATGACCGTGTAGCGAACAAGCGACAGACTCTGTCTGGGTTACAGGCGTGTCGACCCCTGAGCCTCGCAGATGCACGTGTGGCGCTCTTCTTCTTCGTGCTCCTACAGTCAGCCTTTTTTAGCACAGGCAACGTGGCCTCGGTCTCGTCCTTCAGCCTGGAGAGCGTGTACCGCCTGATGCCCTTGTTCGATCCGTTCTGGCAAGGACTCTTACTCGTCATTAAGCTGATGATTCCCTTTACGCTCATTTCAGCCAACTTGGGCATTCTCAACAAGCGTCTGGGCGTGGCTCCCTCGGCACTTTTCATGGTTGTCATGGCCGTCAGCGATCTGCTGACACTATATTTCTTCTGGGTGGTCAGAGACGAGGGCTCGTGGCTCGAGATTGGTTCTACTATCAGTCACTTCGCTATTGCGAGCCTGCTCTGCGTCTTTCTCGCTTTGCTGGAAGGCGTAAGTGCTATGTTTATTGCGGGGGTCGAGGTGGATAATGGTATGAAGCAAGGCGGCTCTCTGGCCAATGTCCGAGTAGGGAGGACAGGGAGGCTAGATGTTGGTGAAGTTGCATTCTCTCCGTAGGTTGTGGATTATAAGGAGCAGTTTGGTTTAGATATCTTCCCGGGCTATAATATTACTAGAATATAAGGATCTAAAATGTACTATTTTTTATAATTCGCTTAGTTAGCTGGTTTATATAGTATAGGTTTATTAACTAAGACTTTAAATATTATATATTTCTTAAGCTTCTACAAAGTAAAGAATACTCTTTACTACTTTTTAGTAGTATTAGTAAATATATTAAGTATATATAAAAAAGCTATATCAGAAATAATATAAAAGCAGAACTGTATAGAAGTTATTTTTAAGTTTATTATTATTATTTATAAAAGGTTTTATAATATAGCTATTTTATCCGTCCGCTTATAAAACGACTCCTAGTTACTTAGTAGTGCGTAATATAAGTAAAATTAATAAAACCACTAAGATGAAGAATATAACTACCGCCTCCCTCTCGGATACTATCGTAGAGGCGGCGTAATACTAGCGCTATAGTAGAACCGGAAAACGCGATAGACGGCGTTATCCCGACCTTGACCTTGACCTTCTAAAATTTTCGGCAGACCTACCTTTCGTAGAATAGGCGCTCCTCCCCCCCTCGGGGTAAGGAGCTACGCGGAACCGATTTAAGACTAAACGGGGACTATTATAGCCTCTAGACCCGAGGATGGCTAAAGTCAAGGTAGTAATTTAGGACTTACTAGCTAATAGGAATACGATCGAATAAGTCGTTAAGCTAGTTACGAAACATTAATCACGCTATAGTATAACTATAGTACTACTACTATACTACTATTAGTATATCTATATATAACCGTCTGCTATATTATCTAATATCAGCTCCGTAAAGGAACTGATAGAGCTAAGGAGACTTAGGCTATTATTATAGTAAGGGCCCCTATAGACTGTCTAGAACGTCCATAGTACGGCGATCGAGTTAGAGTCCTAGGAGCTTTTAAGGGGGCCCCTCTACGGCCTTTAGAACTCGAAGCAGAAGTCCTTCTAGTAGCGGTTTAGTTAACTAAGTCTAATAGGCTCCACTAATAGGCTCCATGACTTTAGGAGCTTAAGGTTCCTACCGAACTACTCTATTAAACGCTAGCTCCTAGCTAGCCTTTAAAGGGAGCTAAGGAATAAAAACCGGGGAAGACTCCGCCCTTCTATAGAACCTATAGCCTACTATATAGCTATATAGGCTAGGCCTAGAAATAGTAGCTTTAGTAGGGCAGTCCCGGAGAATAGAGGGTCCGGTAGCTAGGTAGGAGGCCCCTTATGCTTCCGAGTATATAGCAGATCTAAAACTATTTGTTTCTTTAAAAGACCGACCCGAAAAGGATATTAACCCTGGCCCCGGCCCTATAACCCACGATTCTAAAATAGTCCACCTTAAAGCCCTTACGGAAATACAATAAACCCTAGGCGAATAGGCTGCTGTTTTCTATACTAACGAGTTCCTAGGCCACCCTATAAGGCCGCTTACAGGGCCCTCGTAGGCTATCGCCGCTATTATATAGTAGACTCGTACCAGAAGGCCCTGTAAAGCACTAGGCTTTAACCTAGACGCCTCCGCCAAAGTCGCTAACGCTGAATTATACGCTATTCTTTAGGCCCTATAGACTGCCCTATCGGCTGCCCTGTAATAGTCGCCTACACCTCTATAGTGGTGCCCCTTGTATATAGGAATAGAAGCAAATAAGCTAGCAGATAAGGTGGCTAACCAGGCACTAAACCCCGAAGAAGCTACTCAATCTGTTAGCTTAGTTACTCTTAGCTACCTAGAACGCCGGGTAAATAAAGCCCTAATTCGAGACAAGAAGGCCCTTAAGAATAACGAAGAGAAGCCGGAAAAGAGAGGTAAATTAGTACGACTAGGCCGCTTTTACAGGCGCTTAGTCCGCGATAACCTCCGTTTTTCCCGAAAACTACTACTAATACTGGGCCCTAGGTCGGTAAAGGTGGCTTTTACTTAGCTAAGGCCCGGCTTTGGATATCTAAAAACCCGCTGAGAAAGGCTCTAAAACTGCGCTAACGACCGCTGTTCCTGTCCTAGCACCCCTATACAGGACACAGCCTATCTTATCCTTTCCTGCCCTTTTTATAAAAACGAACCAAAAGTACTGCGGGAAATCCTAGCAGGCCTACCGCTATATCTACCTCTAGTCTTTAGTACTAAAAGAGGAATACAGGCCTTATAAACCTATCTTTTAGATACTAGAATAGCCCTGGCGGAGTGGTATAGGGCGTAAACCTCGGGCTCTACAGTCTACGTATTCTGTTTTGGGCTTTACCTATTTTTAGGTCTACTAGGCAGATTGTTACAGAGGATTTCCTTTATTTAGTACTGTTATCTACTATATCTAGCTTCTACTAGCCTAAAGCCGTTAGGACAATAGGCGCCGCTCTATAGCTCTAGGGCTGCACGCGCGTAATAAAAAAAGAAAAGAAAAGAAAAGCCGTGGTCCGGGGTGGGGAAGAAGACGATATCCAATAACAGGTAGCCACGGATATCCCTAGGGCGTGCTTATCGGCCGTACGCCTATTATCCCCACGCCTATCTATCACGGGCCTTTATACAACTAAGAAGGTATAGAACGATAATACCTAGAAGGCATTCTTTAATACTAGAAGCACTTATAACCCTATATTATTATTATTCTTCTTCTTCTTCTTCTTAATCTACTATCCTATCTTAATCTGCTATCCTATCTAATCTATAGGAGCCTAATTTAGACTATACGATCCTTTGCGGGTGGCTATGAAAGGGAAAACCCGGGATCCCGGGGAAAACCTCTATACTCGTCCTTAGTTAGAGTAGTGCCGCTACGGGGCCGATATAGCCCCGGTTCGTTCCCTCTATAAACGTAGATTATACCTCTAGGCTAGTGGCTAATAGGAAGGTAGTAGGCTATAGTTTAGGTTAGCCTGGGCTAGTCGTTAACGAGGGGGCGGGGGGCTAAAAGGATACCGTGGCGTCTTTACCGCGTAGCGGCCGCGGTATACTATCTCCGGCCTCCCTTAGAGGGGGGGGGGTCCCTACTATATCCGGCGACAGGTAGGAAGGGTAAGGCTCCGTCTATACCCGTAAAATATTATAAATGGTTAATAAAGGGTAGGGTCCTTTTCCTTTTCCTCTTTTTCTTTCTATAACGTCTTAAAGCTTATTATAGGTTTTCTTTATTATATTCCTATTTACGGTCTTATAGACTTACCGTCGCGGCGTCGTACTAACTAGTAATATCTTCTAGCTCTTTATTCCTAATTTATAAGTTTCTCACTTAATTCTAGTATATAATCCGTGCCTTATAGGTGGCGTTACGGTGGCGCGGGGTTAACTAGGTAATATAATAGTAATAGTAATAATAATTATAATAATAACTATAAGTAGCGTCGTAATATAAGTATCCCTATATCGTGGTAGGGCCGCGGTAATAGTATACTAATAGGGTAGATACCTTCTCCTAATAAGATTTATCGTTAGAAATAAAGCACTAGTCGTGTTATGCTATATATATACCCTAGTAGTACCGAAGTAGTAACGTGGCGGCTAATATATAGTAGTTACTTACGTTATAGTAAGCGTGTATGATCTTGCCTAGATAATGTTAAAGCTTATACTAATACTATAAGCACTAGTACAGCGTGCTACTAATACGCTAATAGCCGACGTCTATAAAAGGATATAAGTCCTTTTTATATCGTAAAGGTGCCGCTAAGGTGCTAGGGTGGATAGGTCTAACAGGTTCATAGGTCCCCCCTACTACTAAAGAGTAGTAGACTCGCCTTATGAAGATCTATTAGGTGTATATAACGGCTAAGGCCGCCGGTAGCGTAATTAGTACGACAGTAGGTAGTCTCCTTTAAGTATTATAGCAGTACCGTGCCGGTAAACTAATACTTAATAGGCTAAAGAGCGCCTAATAATAACGGCTTTATCCTTCGGATAGGCCGTCTCTCGGGCGTTACCTGCCGGCTACGGCCGTGGGGGCGCCTTATCGGTAGAGGTATAGGTATAGGAACTATCGCGCCGGTTTCGGCGTGTCGAGGGCATAACGGGTATCCTCCTAGACCACTATATAACTAGTTAAGGTCCCTTAGCAGCCCCCTTTACGGCCTTTTTTCGGTGTAGTGCCGACTAACTATCTTAGGGTCTTAAGTATACTAAGAGTAGTATTAATACCTCGGAGGGAGGAGACGATAATAATAATAAGGAGTAGTATAGTATTGGTAACGCTTTAATACCGCTAGGGTCCTGGCTTATAAGGCCCGTATCTTATAATAAATAGGGCCGTTATACCGCTCTTCTCCCCCTAAAGTGCCGCCGCGTTTTCGTAGGCCTGTATAACTTCGAGGGTAAGCCGGAAATCATTAAGTCTTTTCCGTTATAGAAACCACGTAGGTGTTTTTCCAGCCTTAGTATTATATTCTAGTATATCGTATAAATTTCCCATTATTATAAGCGGTCTCCCCACGGCGCCGAAAAGGTCTTTATGCTTTTCCTTGGTTATATCCTGGTATTAGAGTATTTTATACTCCGCTATCCCTGCCCCTTTATCGCTATAAGGGCACCGCGCTAATAGGAATCCCGGTACCCTCGCCTTAGCTAAAAAGGCCTATAGGCTTAGTTTTTCTAATCGGATTTAGGTAAGTACGGAGCTTTAAGGCTTAAGGAAACCTTTATATTTCCGGAGGAAGCGTTATATTAGAGGGCGGCTTACTACAGCTACGGCGTATATATATAGCCGCTATATTTCTATTTAGGCTTTACTTTATACTCTTATACGGGCCTTTTTTAGGGGCGAGGTCCCCGCCTAGGTTATAAGGGCGGCGAGTTAGGTATTCTATACTAAGGTAGTATAGGTAATATAATAGCGATTTGGTACCGCTAGGGCTCTTATTATAGCGGATACCCCAGCTAGTATTCTATCCTCGGTGCACTTTTCCTATATCCAAAGGACTTTCCGGGCACTAAGGCTTAAAAGGTAGAGGTTAACGGGGGTGATAAAAGTCTCCTTTTTAAGGACCCTAATTAGTATAGCTTTATAGGCTCCCGCTATTAGTCGGAGGTATCGGTTCTATACTATTATTAGTGCCACCACGGGCCCGTATCGGGGGCTTACTCTAATTTTATAAAT